TCCGAGCCCCTGTGTCCAACCTGGCCTTGAACACTGCCAGGGATGAAATGTGGCAGAGCAGAAGCCTGCACCCAGTTGTGCTCCTGGAGAGTGGGGGTACATGCTGCCTGCTGGGGCTCTGCTGTGGACACGAGTGAGCTGAGCTCCTCCTGGCAGCCACGTAACTGCTGCCTCGTCCCCTGATGGCCACAAATGTCATTGCCCTGATAGCAGCTTTAGGGGAGAGCCTTAACGTTTGCTTTGCAGCTCTGTGCATCTATGAGGCTGATCTTTTTGACTTTAAACCTAACAACTTTCTGGTTAGTGCTCTTCTGAGATGCATCTTACAGCTTAGCCCTACACTTCCAAGTGCTCAGCAGTACAGCAGGGCTGACACTGCTGCACACGACTGTCACTGTTGAGCTTCTCTCAGGAGGTGGCAGTGGGAGGAAGGAAAACAGTTAAATGGAGTGTCAGATTCCTTGTGAATCTGAGATGGGGCCAGTGGTAATGGAGGCTGGTGTTGAGCTCACTTGGGCTGCTCACTTCCATAAATCTCTTGTGTGTGAGGAAAGGAGGGTCTTTGCAGTACCTTGATAGAAAAGAAGATGTTGATTGCTGCTGAGGAAAGTCTGATGGGGATCTGGGGACCCTTTTTTCCCTGTAGCTGTACAGAAGTCAGGCCTGAAGGGTTTAAGTGCACTGGGGGTTGGTGGCTTCTTTCTTGTGATCTTTGGCTTTTTACTAAGAATTCTTGCTGGGCTGTGGAACTGTAGGGTGGTGAGTGGAAAAAAATCACCGGGACTAAATGTGTGGTCATCTGTTGGGAATGGTTTTGTATAATGCTGTTTAGACGTCTCAAGGCTGAAGGGAAAAATATCTATCATTAAAAAGTTCAGCTGAAATTCTCAGAATTGTCTGCTACACACACAACCCAAGTGTTGCAACAGCAGGATCCCGAGAGTGCAACTGCCTTGTCATTACAGGAGCTGAGAGCAACAGAAACAGCAAATGGCATTCCAGAAATGACAAGCAAATAGGAGTATTATTCTTTCAGCCTTAATTGTGTGAGTGCAAGTAGTTCCACAGGTAGGGAAATTTCCCTTCGATGGGATTGATGTTGACAGTGCTCTCCTGTGAAACGTCTGCTCTGATTTGTCTCTCTTTAACTCTTCCCTCTAACAGGACGTGGCAGCATGTACCTGTTATAGCCCCATGTCCTGGCAGCTTCAGCCCAGTGTTTAACGTGCTGCCCCTGGGGACAGCTTTATTTCAAATGAGCAAATGCAGCTCAGCTGTGGGCCTATAGCTCTGATGTGCACAATATGTGCTGTTCATAGCCCCAAACCAAATTACCCCTCAGGCAGCCTGCACATAAAGGGCTGGAGTAACTTCAGTGGCTCAGGAGGCAGAACGCAGGTCCTGATGTAGGCACAGTGCTGGGTAGTGCTGCTGGGCTCCGGCAGGAGAGCGTTTGAACACTGTGTTGTGCTGGGAAGCTGTTCCCAGGAGACATCCACATTCTGCTGCTAAAAAAAGGGCTAGTGCTCCTTCTGTGAATACTCCTCAGCTTTTACTGCTTCAGCTAGACTTGGGGTTTCACTTGTCTGTCTGTCTGGAAGCTAGAGGGACTTTTTTTCTCTAGTACCATCGAGAACAGGAATAGAAACTTTGCAATAAGCTCAGAATGTTCTTTGGCTCAGTGCATGGGAAAGAGATTTAGGGTTGGATTTCCTATTGCTTCACACTTACTCCTGCCTGGTAGCAGGGTGACAGTTCTGTGCACAGGCATTTCTCTTAAATGAACTGTTGACTGTTTCTCCCTAGTTTACTGTGGTATCCCCTCAGCTGGTTTCTGGAGGTAAATGCTTCACCTTCCCTCACTACCAGCAGCCAGGAAGACTCTGAACTCGGGGACATCTTCTCAAAGACACACTCCATGCTGTGGACAGGGAGAGCAGGCAGGCAGAGATCTTTATTACCTTCTTAGGGGTTTTATTAAGATGTTTGGAATGGACGGTCTGGTTCCAACTCTTTTGGCAACTGATCATAATACTTTATAGTGATTAAATGATGAATTTCCAGAAACAGAGCAAAGCAAGCATGGAGGCACTGCAGAGTGGGGAAACAAAGCAGCATGGGGCTGCAAAGGGAGCAGAGTCCGTGGCAGAGCTGGGCTTCACACAAGAGCTCTCTTAGAGGCCCTCCTGCATTGTGCCTCCCACACTTGCTGCTTCTGGAGCACTCTGTTCCAAGCAGCTTGTCTTGCAGCATCTTGTGATTGACTTTACAACGTGCTAACCCCGGATATTAATAGCAGGGAGATGTCTGCTGCTTTCAGCTGTTCAGCTTTGTCTCCGATTGCCTGGAGTTCACTCCTGTGTGCAGACAGGTAGCTGTCATTGCTCAGGTACTTCAGTACCTGTACTTGATATGGCAGGCTGATGGGGAGGGAAAAGCATATTGGAGGCTTTGATCTGATACAGGACAACAGTGGAAGGGGTGAGCTGGGTACTCTGGTGGAGTGGTGAGCATCACCGCAGACACATTTAAGTGTGTGCCCATCCCGTGCTGGCAGGGTGCCCTGCTCACATCCTGCACATCAGCAAGGGGGGAGCACCCACCTTTCATTGCAGAACAAAAGAACAAGAAGGGGCTGTGAGCTTTTATGGGATTAAGAGATGCAAAGGAACAAATGGTCTCCAAAAGTGGGTGTGAGCAACCAGGCTGCAGCAGCACTGTTGAAAACATGTAAATGTAGCAGAAACAACTCTGTTCATTGTGCTGCTTTTCAAGTGTTAAGTCACAGCAGAGTCCTTCATACAGCAGCAAAAACCCCTCTGCAGTCACTGGTGGCCATTTACTGGGCACTTCCCTGAAGCTTGTTGTGTACAGTTCACTCTTGGGAAGTAGTACTTGGATTATGAAGTCATACTTCCAGGAGGCTGATGTGTGTTGTAACTCTTAATTTGCAGTACACAGCTCGGTGTGCCTACAGTTGTCTCTGGGTGTAGTTTCTAACTAACAAAACACAAACACAGCTTCGCCTGAAAGCAGGAATTCCCTCACCTCTGCAGGAAAGAAGAGTGAGGTGATGGGTGACTCCTGTTAATGTTTTCATTGCAGGCTCCTATGATGAACAACTGCACAGCAGCAAGTGTAACACTGATCCTGAGCTTGGGATGGGAGAGATCACCATGGATGAAGTTCCCTCTCTCTTCCTCACATCAGCAGCAGCAGTTCCCACTTCTCTCTGGACACTGACAGCTCAGCACTAGACTCTGGCCTTCCACCTTCTGAACTGCAAAGGGCTTGAATGAGGTACTTTGTAATAACTGACCCAAACCCCAATTCCTCACTGGCTTCCTGACTGTTCAGCCCCACTTACAGAGCTTAGTTCTGTACCAGGTAAGAAAATAAAGGGGCTAAACACATTCTGCAAAGCAAACCAAAGCTTTTAGGGAAGGCAGGCACCTGATCCTCCCACTGCTACTACTATGGAAACATGTCAGAGCAGAGAACCTGTTGCCATGATACTGTAAAAATAACCTGGTGTCAGCCGTTGCAGAGACGCTGAGTGGCTGCTCTCCACGGGCTGTGTGTGAGTGGCTCCAGCACAGGGACCTGGCACTGGGTATGCAGGGAGGTGGCTTTCTGAAAGCTTCAGGTAATAAGTAATGTGTGTATGTGAAACTTAAGGCTGAAGTGGGCAGCCTGGCTTCTTGCAGATGTGCATTTAGGATGCGTGGGGTTAGCTACAGAATTCAAAAGCACATCAAGCAATGGTAGTTGGGGTTTAGGCTTAAAGAAATCCCACCTCAGATTTAAGGAGTTGGAAACAAGGTGGGGTTTGGAACTGTGTGAATTGAAGCATGTGTAGAATGGACGAGGCTGCCTGGTGAAGGTGCCTCTGAGCTCTAAGGTGGAAGGTGCTCAGGGAGCCAGGAAGAGGCTGGTGCTGGATTTAAAGCTCTGCACACATGTGCTGAGGGGAAGCGAGCCCAGGATCAGGCCCAGCTCTGTGCTGCACCAGTGAGGTTTGGCAGAACAGGTGAGCTCCCTTGAGAGCTGCAGAGAGCAGGACAGTGGCTGTTTGAAGCCTTCAAGTTCTATCCAGAAATACCTTTACAGCAGTTCAAAAAATAAAGGGCTTGGCTGTGCCCAGACGCTTTCCTGTACGCAGCAAAAAATCAAACCCCTCTGTAGCCTGTTACTAATGGTTTTTTTAATCTTTTTATGGTCTTACCCAAGTTGTGCTGAGGTTCATGTTCAGGCTAAAGGGGGTGGTCTAAAGACAAACTTTAAAACCTTTGAAGAAACTGTTACTGGTTGAGCCAATTGTCCTTTCACTACAAGGCTCGCTCAGGACTGGGTCGTGCCCAGCTCTCTTCAGGCTGCTTTTTTAACTATACATGTTTTATCCCTCATTTCTTTGGTCTTTTGCCTTCCAACTGAACAGCAAAACACATTTTCTCAGTGAGACTAAAAGGATGCTGCCTCCTCCCACCCCATCTTTAGAGATTCCTGACGTGTTTCAGATGCACAGCTTGGCTTTGTTTTAGTACCACGGGCACACAAAACTCCTCCTCTGTGCTTGAGGCGTGCTGTGGATTCCCAATTCCTCCTACTCCTGTTCCCAACATGACAATGAGCCAGCTCTGAAGCCAAACTCTTGAAGCACTTGCAAAAAAACCCAACAAGGAGCACACACACAAAGTCAGGAATGTCCCACTGCTTTGACTTTAATAATCCCACTTCCACCCCAGCCACGGACTGCCCAGCGCTGTGTCCCAGCCCATGCCTGGGGGTGGGAAGGAGCAGGAAAGGGTTTGTGATCCAAAGAAGCTGCAGCCTCGTAGGTGAGGAGCCAAACAGTCCTCAGCTCTGGCTACAGGGACCTCACCCGAGGTGGGCTCCAGGCACATGGATCTCCTCCAGCAAACGCCATAGGATGTGGCTATTGTGGTGTGAGCTGCAGAGGTGACAGCCTGAATATACATGGTGACAATGGCACAGCCACCTCAGCCCTCCAGGATGCGATTGATCAGCTTCATTTCCTCAGCACTCATGGGGTTCAGGTTAAATCCCTTCAGTTCAGGTTTACCTGAGAAGAACACATGGAAAAATCAGGACTTTGCTCCACAACCAGTGCAGCAATCCCTGCTGAGCTCCTGAGGGGCTGCGGGGAGGACAGGGCCAGTCCTGGGAGCTGATGTGGGGTTATCCTGGTCTGATGGCTCTGTACCAGTGCTGCTGGAGCAGGGAAGGAACTGCAAAGCCACTGGGAAAGTGGCTGCAGGAGTACACAGAGCTCAGGAGTTTCTGGACCCTCCTGATATATGACCTCTGATACTGAGACGGTTCCAGAACAAGAGTGTTACCTTGGGCTTCATAGAGGCGGTTCACCTTCACACGCAGCTCTTTCCGGAGCTTGTTTATCTCCTCATCTAGGTGTTCCTGGTCTGAAACAATCACAGACTGGTTTGTGTTGAAGGGACCTTAAAGCTCCTCCAGCTCCAACCCCTGCCCCGGGCAGGGACACCTTC